GCCTTTGACCCATGACACGTCTGGAATGGGTATAATTTCTCATATGTGTTTGTGATTTACTGCACAAACTTGATTTTTATTGTTCATCCTGGATTTATGTTGCTTGATTTCTTCACCCATTTGAAGTTGACTATGCTTTACTTACTTTGTAATTTTGTATTGGGATGAACATACATATATATATTAATAATATATAAGATTAAAACATGTTTCCATAAAATCCTAAGATTTCTATAGAAATCCAATAAGCTTGATTATTATTTTGGTTCAAGAGGGACATAAGGAAGAAAATTTGCTCATTTTCCATTACTGGTTTTACTGTTTTAGAGAGATTTCTGAGATAAATCATAACAAAAACTGTACATATATTTTTATATAACTTGCATTTTTCATTTGATTTTTTATCTCTCCTCCAAATAATTGTTAATATAGATTTTGTCATTGGTAATTTTAAAACTATGTATATACAATACGGTACACTTACACAGACATATAAAAGCACAACCTCACCTTTGCTACTTTAGTTACATGTAACAAAGTTCAATTAGTATCTCCAAATACTTTAAGTTTATTACAGAAAATATTTAAATAGTCTCATATTTTATGCTTTTTCCATAACAAGTTAAAATTATTTCACAATAACTAGAACAGATATGACCAAACTACAAATAGTTACTTTAAAAATACATTGAAGTAAATGGCAACCTTGCAAGAAGAAAAAGATGTCTTATTTTAAGAAACATTGCCAGTTGGAAAAATGCCTTTAGGATTGTTTTACAGAATGTTATTTTATCCTGAATATCTCTCAAAAACATAATACATTTGTACATCTTTTTGCATGCTATGTTTTTTTTAATCTAGGTTATTCTACAGCTTTGTATAGTTGACAAACATTGCCAGTTGGAAAAATGCCTTTAGGATTGTTTTACAGAATGTTATTTTATCCTGAATATCTCTCAAAAACATAATACATTTGTACATCTTTTTGCATGCTATGTTTTTTTTAATCTAGGTTATTCTACAGCTTTGTATAATTGACAAACTGTTGGGATGTTTGACATAACATGATGGACATGATTTAACATTCAGAATTTTTTTTTACAGTTTAAGCAGTATAAAAACGCAGATTAGAGTAGATGATTTTTTAGTCTGTTAACTTACACCAAGTCTGAAGTAGAGAGTAATTATTTGAGTTTTTCATAAGTTAGTTCAGTTTTAGAATATAAAGTTTAAGTTCTCAATGATGTAATAAGAGATATGCTGTACGTTATATAGAATGCAAGAAATTAGTAAAATGTGTGAAATTGTTGTAATAATGTCTACTGTGAAGCTATGCCTATCAGCAGACATTAGTCCAAGTCAAATTGTAGCTGAAGAAATAACACATGTTCAGTATCATTAATTGAACTGAAATATGCATTATCCCATTTACAAGTAATCCAAAAAAGTTGAATAACAATAGAAGATATCAGAACAATTAAAAAGAAATGAAACCTTTACCTTTAATGTAGTTCAATGCATCCAAAATAACAACTACATCCTTGGATACTGTCCTGAAAATTGCAGTGTAAAGATTATAACAAAACAGAAAAACTTGAACACACATTTGCTAATATTTAGACCAAGACCACTATCAGATTACCTAACTTAAAAGCATGAAATACTCTTCTTTCAGAGAACTTCTTAGTTTAAAGGTATGCTATTACAAGTTTCTTTTAACATTTTTTGTCCTTTAACTAAGAACTCAATTTTCTTTATTAGCTATTGATATAATGTACAGAACTTACTGAATGTTTTCATCAATTTTCAGCAACTTTTCTTTGTGATAAGTAAAATAAACATAACACCTGTTTATGCAGTGACACGACTACTTTTAAATATAGCTTTTTTTTTTTACAAAGGCTATCCTTCTTCAGAAACAAAATATTAGAAAATAAAATATATATTTAATTATTAAACACACACAGTTATAAAAGAAGTAGGAATTCCATAACACAATAAACTAATTTATTTTCTCTCATTAATCTTCAAAGTCATAAGGCCAGTCATCACATGAAACTAAATTACATAAAAAAATTATTTTTATATCACTGAACAATATATATTCACCTCTTATCTTAATGAATGTATTTCTTTGATACATTACCTTTGAACATCAGATTTCAATTCACTCCTCAATTCCTTTTCAAGTCTAAAATCTAAAATATTAAATAAAGAAAAAAGAAAAATTACCTTAAAGGAAGTTTTTAAATTATTTGATTTCATAAACTAGCAAATTTCTCTTGAATTTAAGTACGACTCTAAAACAAGTTACTACTACAAGTACTAGCAGGCTGACTAAAAACTGTAAAATACTTTCTTAAAAACCTTAAAAATAAATACAACAATCCAAATATTAAATACAATTAATAAAGTGCAAGTCCACAATACTAGTACCAGTAGACACATGCAGCTTGTACAATTACATTTTGTAATGAATATCCCAGCATTACAAGTTACAAGGTGTACTAGAAAAGAAAACCATTGACCTGTACGTTTTCAGAGAATAAACTTTCTTTCATCATGGGTAAATGGCAAACAACCACTACAAGCACATTGATCATTTATGTCATCATTGTACCAGAAGGGAGACTTCACAAGTTTTAAGAATTTGACCTATATTGTGAAATAGCATTGCATGTGTGATGTATAAGTTATGGGAAATAAAGAATAAAAAGTAGTTTTGGAATAAGAACTTAAGATAATATATGTTTGTGGAAGAAGTAACGTTCAAAATAAATGTGAGATTTATTAATAACTACACTTAATAATACAAGAATTAGAAATGAAAACATAAAAATGGTAAATAGAAATGACAAAAGGTAAAATGAATCTTAAGTAATGGGTGTTTATGAAATAACACGAAAATCAATTTGAAACAGATTTTTCTAGAAGTTTTCACAAAAACTTGAACTTGAGCCTATTTATATTGATTTCAATGTTTATAGTTATGCCATAATGGGTGACAATGTCTAAAAAATAATAAAATACTGATCCACTAGCCCTCTTTTATTTCCATTTTGGCTTTTTATTTAAAACCCGGTTTCAATAGTATTAGTAATGAGAACTATGTCATTGTTGGAGTGGTCAGCAGGTCCTCTCAGGGAGGCCTGGGCCACTTCTATCTTTTGAGAACTTTGGATATAAAAAAGACACATGAGAACAAAATGAGACAATCATTAGGTCTAAAGAATAGTGAAACAACTTCAATATTTAATTCGTATATATAATTTGGAGCTCTAACTAAGCTATGCACATAAAAACAAGTCATGAAACTTAACAAATGCAAAGAAATAATAAGTGTCTAAATTTGAAGCCCCCTTTGAGCTTGAGGCCCAGGCCAAATGGTTCTCCCCTTCTAATTCAGTAATTGGCCCTATTGGTTAGGCTGCTTAAAGTTTATTAAACCGTTTTCTAGGGGTAGTCTCTCGCATTCACAAAGTAAGCTAAACCTAGAACAAGGTAGGTCCAAGCCCACACTACTGACCATACTGTAGACTCTAATAGTAATACTAGTAATAGTGTAAATCAACGACTTCACCTGAATATATATGATTTCTGTCTAATAATTTTGCTTCATCTGTCAGAAGAACACACTGTCTTTCATTTCTTAAATGTTCATAAAGTTTTTGAGCAAGCGTCGATTTTCCACTAGATGGCAGGCCACACAACAATACTAGCGGCATGCCTACTCTTTAATCTTGTCACAATTTAAATTGCGTTCAATCTCGGAAAAAAAGTGAAACTTGTGGCCATAGATAAATATAGTAGTTCTCATTTGTGTCAAGCGGCGGCGCCATAAATGTGATTTTTGTAATAATAATAAGTAATTTCCATACAAGCCCTAAAATTACTTACTCTACAAATTCACATAAAACTAAAGACAGATTTGAAACAAAAAAAAACAATTTTTGTTTTTGGAATTATTAAATATTGGAATAAATAATATGTGTAGGGAACGACTCTATTCAATGATTCGCCACAACTGTAGTAATGAAAATAATGTGGCAAGGGTTAAATCAAATATATCACACTATTAGAGCAATAATGGAGTATATGTTTGAATTTACAATAAACTTTTATTTAATTCAGACCCATAAATTTACATGCAAATCAGAATAATAAGAACTGGGTACTTTATATTTGCCAGGGAGGGTGTATAATATCTTAAAATCATGTGGTACGTTAATATATATATATATATATATCGTACTGTAGCGAAACTATTATATGTAAAAATACTAGCAATCTGTGGGACAATCATCTTCCATTCTCCGATATTTTCCATATTTTTCCAAATAAGCCAAACAGTTTTGTGTATCATCAGTGTGAATAATATATTTTTTTAAGTAATCGATATCCGATACTCTGGTATCATATCGAACCATAAATTTGGAGTATTGCTCACCACTGCCAGAAATTGGTATCACTTTGAGAATGTATTTCACCTTTTTACAAAAAGTGAATCAATCTCCTGGAGTGGCTCATATATTTGTATATATTGATATAATTTAAGGGGTTTTCTCCCCTGTAAATGTTCTTTGGAATAGTCGGTGATGCATGCAAGTATATCGTACTTTAATGTTTTGTCTGAATTTCGGCGGTAAATCAGATTTAGAGTTTTTGTCATGTTTGAATGGAACTTGACTATTTTGTCTTCTTTCTCCAATCAATAAGGCCACATTGAAGCTTTATTTAGTAACTTAGCGAGCAGTTTTATTATTGCACGTGCACTGTTAGATACTTTATTGAATTAAAAAGCGCCTTCTTCGTCATGAGTAGACTAGTAATCTCTTTGTGTAATTTCAGTTACGTTTTTTTTTTAAATTTGGTTATGTGTGTGAGTATTACTATTACTTTTCTTTGGAATGGAACCTGATCTTCCCAGATCACACGAGACCCAAATATCGGCCAATAAATGTTTATCTTTTCCATTGCTGACGTTTGAAAGTAAGGTTTCTCTCAATCTCATCAGCTAGTTAAAATCAATACAGAATCAGAGGACTGTTAGTATTACTGCTAGAAAGTGAAACACGTGACAATGACATTAACAGCACTTTGTTTCTTCCTGTCTCACAGAGAATAAAGATTTTTTGTTTCATTCATTTACTGTCGATGTTCGAAACTGTTATTTGCATTTCGCGAATGCTTTTAAAGTTAAACTTCAGTCATCGCTGTACCTGAATATAGTGAATACTACAACTTTATGAATGTCAGTGTGAAAATCTAAACCTACGGTTCACCCATTAATCAAGTATCTTAGTGAGTCTTACGCTAGTCGTTAGGACTACGAGTGCGAGGGTTTGTGTTAATAACGTAACTGTTATTAACTGTATAATATGAACCCAGCAGTTATTGGATGTAATTTTGCATTAACTAAGGTTCACTAAAACATTCAAGTCTAGTATTAATAATAATGTAATTTAAATTTTACAGGATTAATTTATTCAAAATAATTGTTATTATATGTTAAATTTTATTTGTTGCAGGGTTTACATCAACATGAGTGTATACTGTAGTTATTACTCTTGACTAAGTCAGTAGTTGTAATAGTAATCTCAAAACATTATGCCTTATGGACAACAAGGAACATTTGCCATCCCTGCATATGTACCTCTGATAAAAATTAAAAGTAAAAACCCACCCTTTGTTTTTAGGAATGCCTATTCCTCTCATAAAATACAGCCCTCTATTACTATTACTGCTAACACTCAACAGCAACTTATTCCATAATCCAGCCTTTGGTTTTAAAGGCTGTCTTGCTCCCCCACCTTTGATTGAGAAAAGTAAATATTTAAACTTACCCATGGCGTTTTAGGAAATCGTGAGTTTCCCTTTCATTGTAAAACTCATGTACACTGATGATCCCCACTGCTTCTTATAGCAGCTCATTCCATAAGTCAATCACCCTGTTATATAATATAACTTTTTATCTGGAGCTCAGCACGTATTGTCTAAATCTTAAGCTTGTATCTTCTCATCCTGTAATCTTCAAAATATATCACTTAGAAATCAGTAGCTTTTATCCTATTGATTCCATGGTTAAAATTAAATTCTACACATTTGAAATTAGTAATTCATCCTATACTTTCTGAACAAACACTGAATATTGTTCAGCATGTTAAAATCTGTTATTCATTCTCCATACAACCATAAAGATCAGAAACCTAAGATTAATGTAACATTTCACAACTATATACTTCTCCCTGTTTAGTGAACATTGAATTTCAACTAATATATGCACAATATCATCAGTTGATTTATTTATAAATAATACTCTGTGCAAGTACGAGTTATGAGTTGGATTTTCAAAACTTGTATTTATTAACTCTGCAACAGTATATAGAATAACCTACATCAGTCTCATCATTTCAACACTCATAGATAACTCTTGAAAGTGTTAAACACCTCAAACAATTAATTATAGTCCTTTTAAACTTCTGTGAAAATAAGTCTATGTGCCTTAGTTTCACAGTTAATAATTCTTAAACCATGGTATCCTGTACAAGAATACAATAATTCTCGTATAAATAAATGTAATTACTGTGGTAAAAGTTTTGAGAATTTATTAGAAACTTCTACTTATTAAACAGGTTGAGTTAGGTATCTGACCAATCAAGAAAAAAAAAGCAATCAACTCATCAAGTATTTTTTATATTTTATCTAATTGCATATATTGACTAACAGCTATTTTTTTTTTAATTTGCAATATAATTTCACAATAATGACATATTAAAAAAAACAGGTAGTTATTTTCTATGTGATTGTAATATTATTTATTTACAATAAAAGGCATCAAAAATGCTTTATTAATGTTGGAAGGTTGAGATGAACCATAAGCTTATTCTTGTTTTATTTTTATATTATATAATTTATAATGCATAAAATTCAAAGATATAATACAGCATTATATAAAACAACTAATTTGTTAAGATTTCAGTGGGTGAAGAGGAAGAACCCATTAAACTTGTGCATTATATTAATGTGTATATATATGCACTATTTACAGTTTTTTGTGGTTTGGATTGAAAACTCGGTTATTGTCAAGTACATTAGTAGGGGTGTAATTCAAATCCCTGTCGATAAGCAGAGATAATACATTGGGGACTAAAAATTAATAAAAAAACTTCAGCTAATATATGAGTATTTATGGTATTTAATACAGATTTTAGATTATATCATTAGTCAAAAAATATGTGGTCAGTTCACTGTCATTTAATATTACTTGACTGGTCAATTGACCAACATTCCAATTCTGCATTTAGATAACTCTGACTTTGCTAAGGCTTCTCTGATCCTATTTATTTTAAGGAAAATTGTGAACAGTATTAATTATCTACAACACATGTATACCACCATCAGATTTAAATATATAAAATTCCCAAGTCAGCATATAAATTATTGGTATACCAGGGAATAACCATGTTATCAAATTATCCAGTCAGAATGAGAAGATTGCTAGTTATGTTTAAATTGTTCTTTTTCTCTTGATTGGTCATCCTCAGAATGTGAAAATAAAATAATAAACAGGAAGCTTTTTTAAACATTTTAAGCAGTGCTTGAGTTAGGGTTAAAGAGGAAACAAGATGGTTTATGGTATTTTTGAATCTGAATAGTACATTTCTTGTTTATTCTTTATTTATTATCATAAAATGCAAAGATTAAGAACTTATTAGATAAAGTAAATTAAGCAAGCTAATGAATAATAATAAAAATTCTTCATGAGAAATACTTGTGAGCAACTTGTGCATTACATAATTCAATATGGTAACATGAGCTGCACATTTACTGAGTAATTTACAATTTGTGTGACAGGATTATTAGTTAGAAGTGGTTTAAAGGGCAATAAAACAAAATTAAGTATAAATAAATATATATATATATATACTGTAATTCAATATGGTAATGAGAGCTGCACATTTGCTGAGTGATTTACAATTTGTGTGACAGGATTATTAGTTAGAAGTGGTTTAAAGGGC